AGTGGTTTAGTGGCCAGATATATACAATCTTATTCCAATGACAAAGAAGTGAGTGGCACTGGCGTCCTCAAGATTCCCTGGAGTTGCATTAAATCAGAATGTTATGTGATACCATTGCTGAGGATAAGTTGCTTTGGCGAGCATCCAAGTCTGGTTTCTTAGCCACATATAATATTTGACGGATAGAGCACTTTATCTCGACTTAGCATCAGTTTGAATAAGACCACCTGTCTTTTCTGTGATGATGATGAGGAATTACGTAATCATCTCTTTCATTCTTACAAATCTACCAAGCATATTTGAAGAATGATAATGGAAAAGCTTTTTATCTTTAGGAGCTCGAGGACTGACAAGATGAGTTTCAATGGATTGTTAGCATTCGAAATACAAAGGTATTGTAGTCTGTTACGAGCTACCTAACCAGCATACAAAAAACTTGAGGAAGCTTGACAATGTTGCTCTTACAACTGATGGAATCTTATATGCCATTGTTAGTGATGTACGAATTAAATTGTCTGTTTTTATTGAAGTTATTGATATTCCTGATAATAGATTAATTTCTAATAATTAAAATATTGGGATTGGAAGTACTCGTTAACTTTAAGCAGTTTGTCAGTAGCAGCTGGCATTTTTTCGGGCCTTGTATCATTGCCAGACCTGTGAAGAACTCAGCTTGAAAGTTGTTTATTTGTCTTGGAATCCAAAGGAAAGTTTCGCTTCACTTTCGCACTCCAGGGACAAGCTGAGAGCCAAAGATGTGGCAGGTCACCACTACCAACTCACTTGAAAGGTTTTTAACATACTAACCAAATAGTATTTTCTACCAGATAAAGTGACCACGTTCTGGCCTTTGGGCTAGTGGAAAGAAAGCCCTGGAGAAATAAGCCTATGGCTCACAGACTTCAATGCCCTATGTAACCATCTGGTTCAAATTGGCGCCTTTAAAATAAGCACAAATCACCCTTTGTTGCTCCCATGAGTCCTGCTAGTAAGAACGTTCAAATTGTCCTATTTTTTAAGAATGAAGAGAGAAAAAGAGTTTTGAGTAAGACAAAGCTATGGTAGATAAATGGTTCGAATTTAATTTTAGTCTTCATAACTTCATGTTCTTTATTCAGATAAATAAGTAAAAAAATTAGAGACTTTCGCATGATTTCAAAACTTTAAACTCATCAATTGAAGTTCTTTATATTGAGTTTCATTTCTTAGAAGTATATAAATTCAATTTCAGATAAATTGGTATACTGAAATTCAACTCCATTCAACGAATTTTATGCTCAAATAATTTTAAATGGTCGTGACATAGAATTCAATGTAATACTAATAATATATTTCAAATTCTTAGATATTTTATGCTTACATAGTTTGTTTTTCTTTCATCATACTATTGAAAAGAAAAAAAAAAGAACAAACTTTTTTTTTAAGAGTGAATCAAAGAAAGAGAGGAGCTTTTGGTTTATCCCAGATCACAAATTTCTCAAAAATACCCACATAGGGTTTTTCTTTTGGTTTCTGATTGGACGATCTTGTTTTGAAGTACTATCTTTAGATTCTATTATTGGCTGATCCTGTTTTCTTCTCCCGTTAGAGATGAACATGAGCTTTTCACATGACATGGATTATGAATATGAGCGAACAAGAAAATCGAATCCAACCAAGTAAGCAAAAAATCATCTTTTTTTTTTTGTACTTTCGTTAGAGTTATTGGAAATCTGAAGTAATAATTATTTACTTACCTTTTTTGTCAGAGTTGTGATTGATAATGAAGCCTACGAGAATGCAACTGTGATACAGGTATGACCTTTTGGGTTTTTTCTTTTTTTTTTTGACCATCTCTCCTTTTTATGGTACGTTTTGGTTTTTATTCCATTTGTAATGCAGGTTGACGGTTTAAACAGACATGGAATTCTTCTTGAAGTTGTACAAATCCTTACTGATCTTAACCTTAACGTTACTAAAGCCTACATATCTTCTGATGCCATTTGGTTCATGAACGGTGAGATATGTTCATCTCCTGTTTATTTTTAAATACTTTTTTTTTTTTTTTAAATTAAGTTGTTTACCAAGTAGCAATTGATTCTAAAATATGTTTTCTTTTACAACCAATTTTTAATATTACTGATCAAGATGGAAACAAAATCATAGATGAAGGGATTCTAGATTATATTACAAAGGTAAGCAGTAAAAATCATAATTGGTTTCCTTTTTTCTGCCTAATTTTCTTGCTTTTTTTTTCATGCCTGACTATTTATTTTTGTCTTCAGTCTCTAGAGGCAGAATCTTTCTTCACATCTTCAATGAGATCCGTTGGGGTGAAGCAATCAATGGACCACTCTACAATTGAGTTAAGAGGAAGTGACCAGCCAGGATTGCTATCTGAAGTGACTGCCGTCCTTAGCGATTTTAAATGCAATGTAGTGAATGCAGAAGTGTGAACACATAACGCCCTTGCTGCAGCTGTGATGCAAGTGACTGATGTGGAAACAGGAACTGCAATTACTGACCCAGAAAGGCTATCCAGGATAAAGATACTTCTTTGCAGTGTCCTAAGGGGAAGTGACAAATCCAGTTTAGCCAAAACTGTAGTCTGTCATTCAGTCACTCATACTTAGAGAAGGCTTCACCAGATGATGTTTGCTGATAGGGATTATGAACGAACGGGTGATGATGTCTTGGATGACAGGCAAAGGCCGAATGAGGATGTTGTTAATTGGTATGCGAAGGACTATTCAGTGGTTACCGTTAGGTGTAAATTTAGACCAAAACTTGTCTTCGATACGGTTTGCACCTTGACAGATATGGACTATGTAGTGTTTCATGCAAATATTGATACTGAGGGGCCAAATTCTTATCGGGTAATGCCATTTCATCTTCCTTTGCTAACTGCTTCTCCTGAGTTTGTATTGAAAATTGGTTCTGTTTGTTTTAATTACTTTGCTTATTACATCTTGTGTTTGTAATTGCAGGAATACTACATTCGGCATATAGATGGATCCCCTGTGAAATCAGATGCAGAGAGACAAAGAGTGACTCGGTGTCTTCAAGCAGCAATTGAGAGAAGGGTATCTGAGGTGAGTTTCTGTAATATATATCAGAATTTGGGAGTACGTTCTTGATTGTCTGGAATTTGTTTGCAGTTACTGATCCCTCTTTCCAGTTAAAATTATCTTATGCTACTTAAATAGATTGGTGATGATATTAGCACAAAGTGTATGATAAACATAAATTCATAAACACTATGATCTAATTATAAGTTGTCATAATCAAAACATTGTTGCAGACCTTCTAGTCAAAGATCTCTAGCTGCTGCATTGCTGACTCTTTTGTCAAATTATGGTATCTCATATCTAGTTGTGTCTCTAATAGATGATGTGCCTTGCTTCTGTCAGAAAAATTCTTTTTCTTTTGCTGTTCTATTGCCTGCTTTTAGGGACTCCATTCATTAATATTGCTAATTGACTTGTCTCTTCCAGGGTTTGAAGCTAGAGCTTTGCACAGAAGACAGATTTGGATTGCTATCTGATGTTACTCGTATCTTCCTGCAGAATTGCCTCACTATCACCCAAGCATCGGTCACAACAAAAGCAGGCAAAGCAGTTAACACATTCTATGTTGGTGATGCATCAGGGTATCCTGTTGATGCTAAGATCATAGATTCTGTCAAGAATGAAATTGGGCATATTATACTAAAAGTTAAAGGCAGCCCTGAAGACTCAAATCAATTTCTCAGGAATCTCCAACCAGGTTCCTTTTTGGTGGTCTCTTCAAATCATGATCTTTTGTCAACTTCAGCTTGGTTAGGTCTTATTCTTAAAGAATTTATTTAGCTCCCTTCACATTTAAATCAAAACACATATTGATTTAGCTTAGTTCCTGCTATAGATCTTGTTCAGTCCAAGAATCATTTGTCAGTTCTGGTAAAGGAAAGTCATACATAGAAATCGTGTATCCAATCTAATTGGATCCACAAAAGCAGAAAATGAAACAATGGATTCTGACTTTTGTATGCAATACTAGTCTCTTTTACATTGAATAGGCTCTTCATTTGGTTTAGCCCTATTGACATATTTCTTGAGGTTACGTTTTGACCATAATTTTGGACCCATGTTCATAGCTTTGACATATTTTTTCTTTGCTGCAGGGATTATAATAGATAGTAAATAAACGGGTATTCGTTATTACGGATAATTAGAAAATGAATAATTAATGAATTTACATAAGAGATTTATTATTCACAACGGATTTGGAGTGAATTAAAATAGTATCTTTTGCTTATTTAATATTTAAATTCGTTTAAATTTTAATAAATAATAATAGATATCTAAATTCGTATATGAATTCATTATCTTTTTAGATATGTAAAATATGTAAAATTTTATGTAATAAAGTTTTGGACTTTAAAAAATAATTTTTATTTATTATTAATTAAGAATAAATTTGAATTTCAAATTAAATTTTTATTTATTTTATATTTTGATAAAAATTTTAAATAAAAAATATTTTAATGAAATTAAATATTTAAACGAATAATATTTATTTTAACGGCTTTAGATTTGGATATTAATATTAAACATAAACGAATATATATTTGATTTGTATGAAGTTTTTAAAAAATTGAATTTTGGTTTAAAACTTTTAATTTTTTTGTAAGGTGATGTTTATGTCTTTTAATGAAAAAAAGTATACAAGCTAATGATGAATGCAAAATTAGAATTAAATATTTTTAACAAATAATTGTGAAACATAAAAAAATGAAAAAATGAAATTGAGGAAACATTAAAGCTAAATACGTATTTTGGGTTGAAGTTGGAAATTAGGCAGAAAAAGAAAGGGCAAAACAGGCACCATGGAATTCCATGTCACCGCTGACGTTAGCCTCCTAGAAAATCCCGGCCACACGCGTCAAACCCCAATCACGAAAAAAATATAAAAGGAAAATTTTGTAAACCATTTTTTGTACTTCCAAATTTGCCCCTTTGACATACCACAATTTACACCAATTGCCCATCCAATCATCAGCTCATTGTTGCTAGCTATCTCCTTTCGTCTGTCACGCTCCGTAAGTCACAGTAACGAAAACCGTCACGCCGTCCGTATCAAACAAGACTTATAAGTTTTATTATTTTATTTCCTTAAACTCCTTTTTCTTTTATCCAAAATTTTTCAAAAACCCTAACCTCCCAAGCGTGCCAATGCTCTCGCCTTTTCATCTCCTGCGATAAATCCCTCGTCTATTCCCTTTGAATCCTTCCTCTTTCTTTCCGTTTCCTTCCTCGTAACTTTGATTAAGGTAAGCTCGTTTCGTTGCATATTAGTAGTTTCTTACTGTCAAAATTGAATTATATACGGTAGTCGTTTCCTGGTTATCTTTTGTGCTTTCTCTTCGGTTTTGTTTCTCCGTTTGCGATGGCTGACTGGAATTAGGGTTTATATTTGCTAATTTTGTGCTCTTTGTGGACGAATTTACTGAACCTAAGTTTGTTAGGTTATTTGACTGCGTTAATATATATATATATATATATATATTTTACATTAGTTTAATCTTTTTGTCATTAGCTATGTTTGTCAGAATTTCGATGTTTAATCTTTTCTTCAAGCTTCATTTTTAAAACTTCTTTTAACAATTAATTAACTTCACGATCACTGAATGTATTACATTATGCGCTTGAATGTTGCGGCCAACAGTGTTGAGGGTTGTACCAGGGACAAGGGTTTAAGGATGTGTTTGGTATACAAGATTATGATAGGATAGGATAAGATGATATTAGGAATATGATTATATTAAATAATGTCATCTTATCTTGTGGTTGATGTGTGCAAGGATTATGATAAGATAATTTATTTATTAGTCAAAATTATCCTTCCTCAAAGTTTATACAATTTAAATTATTGATGTAATTTTTAAGGATACAATAGGACATATAAGTTCAATCTAATAGATTAAAAATAATCCTCTCCACTTTGGGGGGACTGAATCATCCTATACTAAGAGGATGATTAATCCTCCTTGTAATCTTATCCCTTTCTTTAGATACAAATCAAACATAATATAGGATAATCATCCTATCCTATCTATCATCTTATGCACTAAACATGACCTAAATCCTTTATACATTGGAATAAAAAAGCTATGTTTTGATTATGGTTGTTAGTGGGCTCATTTTTCTCATTGTAAAATGCTAAAGCTAATGTTGCTTAACTGGAAAAAGTCATTAATAGTCGAGCAAAATTGTGAATGTGATAGTGCCAAAATATATGTTAATGTTTTCTTTTTTGTAAGCTTAACAAAAGGGGAGATGTGTGCTTATGAAATCTTGATGTGAGATTATTGTTATGGGTTGATATAGATTTGTGTCTTTGCTGTTGACCCTGTGATGTTATTGTTACTAACTAATCATGGGTGTTTTATGTATTTGTATATGCAGAAAGTGAAAGTAAAATGAGAGGCAAAGGAGTTATGAGAGGGTTTTCTCGACCTAAATCTTGTTCCAGGAAGAAAACGCTGAAAAGATGCAACATGAAAGGGAAATTTGAGAATGTTGTTCTCATTGACGTTGATGGTGATGGATGTGAGAATGTTATTATCATTGATGCTTTTGAGTCTGTAGGGGAAGATTTACAAGGTTCCAGTGGATCAAAAGGAGGCAAACGATTTCCTTCTCCAGGTGTAATTAGCATTGATGATGATGAAACTGATACTATAGATGATCCTGAAATTTGTGTTGAATGTGGTCCCTCAGATAGTGATGCCTCCTCAAGCAAAAGTTGTCCTGCCCCTGACTTTATGCGGAAATCTGCTGGCTTATATGATGATGAGTGCCAGTTCGTCAGGGAAAAGAAATCTGCTTTTAAATTATCAAAGTGCAAGAAAACCTACACTGGGAAGACTCCTTGCAGAAAATGTTTTGGTTTAAGTCCCGAGTCTGAGGATAGCTCATCTGAAAGTGATTGTTCTGATTGTGAACTTATGGAAGGTTGTTTTGGAAAACTTCGTGAACAGTGGGAGAAAGCTTTCCAACAAAAGAAATATAGTGTTAGAAATGGTCAATCTGGTTTAGAGGATCAGACTAGTGCCTCAGGATCACGTAATGATACTCCTCCAGGAGTTGAACAAGAAAATAGGACCCAAAAGCATTCTGAAACCCCCTCATCCTCTGGTTCAAGTGGTTCAAATATTCAGAAACAGAGGTCTTATGCCTTTGAGACTAATAGTGCTTATTACTCATGTCGTACTTGTCTTAATCGTGGGACAGAAAACCCTTTTGTTGAATCTGATAAGAAAGTTGAACATGAAAGCTTTTCACAGTCAAAATATGGGCCAACTGCTGAAGCACAGTTTTCTCATGTTCTGGCTGATGTCATATTTGAAAGAGAAACATTTATGAAGAATCCTCCTTCAGGGGATGGAGATCGAGTGTTTGCGCAGGCACCCTCAAATCGTGACCCATATCCAAGTGACTTGCAACATGGGAAAAAGGGTTCAAATGGAAAAGAGAAACTACAATCCAAAGAACCATTGATGTCAATGCCTAAATTATCAGAAGAAAAACAGGTTGATGATGGCATGACCCCTTCTGTTGTGGAAGTTGAAACTGTTTTTGACCAATCCTCTTCCGTTAAGACTCCATTAGGGGGAATGCCAGTAGTCAGCAATAAGAACCATTGTGATAGAGAGAAGGTAGTATCTGAGAACAGTTCTGAGTGTGATGAAACTCAAATTACGCAATCTTATACTGAAGCAGAGAAATCAAGTATTAATTCTGTGGCTAACAGTAAAAAATATGATGGAAGGAATAAGTTACATGTTCAAGGTGTTGATGCTGCAGCTTCTGGTGAAAATGATATAATTATTGACCGAGAAAAGCTAAAGGAGACTGATGAATACAAGAGAGCTGCAGAAGAGGAATGGGCATCTAGGCAGCGAGAATTACAAATTCTGGTTCGGCACTTAAACTATTAGTTCTCTTTCTTTGGTTGGAGGCTATTCTCTTTGTTTTCAGTATATTGCTAGGATTTTATGGAACAAGTAATTTTAATTGTTTAAGCAGTTGCTCAGATGAGGTAATCTGCGTTCTACCTCAAGTTTGAATGCTCTAAGTTTAGACAGTGATCTGATATTTTAGGTGTGATGTCAGAAAGTGTGCTGTTGCAATCAGTGCTTCTTCATCACTCATTTAACTTCAAGACAGTTTCTTTTAGCGTCTGTTTGTCATCCTCTATAATATTGACTCAAAAGTTTTATTTTGTAAACATCATATTAGTTATCGTTTTGTTTTATCAACTACAAATAATTTGTTAAACAAACTTTAATTATGGCCTTTTTAACAGTCCTATGTTTTGCTCTTTGGCATTAGCATAGGGTTTAAACTTAATAAAGTTGGATTAGGAAATTAGTTTGCAATTGACTTAATCTTTTTCTAGGTAAAATTTACTTAGGTTTTAAAACATAGGTTTTGGAATTTTTACCTTTTCCATTGAATATAATGTTTAATATCACATGAAATACAATTTTTTGGTTGTTTAAAATTTTTGTTGCAATACATGTAATAAATGCTTGAACTTGTTGCATAACATGTATTTAACTTGCTTCTTTTGCAGGCAGAAGAGGCTCAAAGATTGCGGAAAAGAAAAAGGGCTGAAAGCATTCGTCTATTAGATATGGAGAGGAGGCAAAAGCAGCGTCTTGAGGAAATGAGAGAGACACAAAAGAAGGTTGAGATATTTATCAGTACTTTTTCTTATTATCCTTTTGCAAGTTACTCGTACTTGATTCTTATGTTTGACTAATTATATCTTAATCTGTTAAATGATTTCTACTTCAGGATGAGGAAAATATGAACTTGAAAGAAAGACTAAGAATTGAAGTAAGAAAGGAACTTATTAAATTGGAAAAATCATGCATTGATATGGCCTCATTGCTTCGTAGCTTGGGAATCCCTGTAGGTGGTGGTATTTGTCCCTCGTCCAATGAGGTGAGGGAAATTGGATTAATTTATATATCTTGTTATTTCAGTTCCCAATATATCAAACTGGGTGGTCTGTCCCTATTTTGTTTCGGCAGTTGAAATAATAATCACGTTATTGTTTCATTAACTTCTGCATTCCTACGCTCTTGGGCCACGAGGAGATTATAACTTGTAAATTTTATTCCCATCTCTAAGTTTCAAGTTGTTTCTAATAAAGATTAATGGTCATCTCAGGTGAATGCAGCTTATAAACGAGCCTTGCTAGGATTTCATCCTGACCGAGCATCTAGAACTGATATTTGCCAGCAGGTTGAGGCCGAGGAAAAATTTAAGCTTATTTCTTGCATGAAGGAGAAATTTTTGTGACTTAATGTCACTGATTCTTAACAAAGGTTCAAATATTTTTACTACAATGCAAATTTTGTTTGTTTCATAGGCAACTAGGGTTTCACATTTTTTTAATATTCATATGTTAGAAATTTTTTTGCCAGTTCTGTTCAGGTGTACTGGTCAAAATTGTAAAGCAGTTGTAAATACTTGCAAAGATATCATTGCTAGAGGTCTGAACCATCAGGTTATATTCTACAGCCTATCTTTGAGAATTGAGTACGCGCTGATTAATTGTTTCCTAACTGTGATGTGCTCATTAATTGGATTTTGAGATAAGAGGGCTGTGAACTTGTTTGCTGTGTTTAATCAAAGTGTTTGTACTTCCTATAAAACTTGGAAATAATGTTGTATTTACATTACATTACCCATGACAATGCCATATTATTCTATGAGCGTTTCACTTCACTGACAATTTTTTTTATTATATTCTTACAATTGTCCAATTATAATAGAAATTTGTGTAAGGTTTCATCACTTATTAAGTATGAATTTTACGTAATATTTTGGTGAATCTTATATAATTATAAATTCTGATTGGTTAATTGTATTTTAACTGTTGAAGGTGAATGCTCCCTGTTATTCTACTTTTGGAATATGAAGAACTCTTCCTTCATTGCCCATACCTGAATGTATGTGTAAATGTTACTAGTTTTTTCATTCCAGAATTTTCTTTTATCAAGTATGAAGCGTATTGTAAAAGTAACAAGAAATTCAAGCCAATATTCTTATAAAATTAGATTATTCATTCTATTAACCCTCCATTGCCCTGTAGAATAGTCAAGGGTATATCATACAAGACAATCCAAGCCTTATGGTGCCTATGATAAATCTGTACTTGTAGAAATCAATGCTAAACTCAGCCAATCAGACACTTTTCCTATCTAAGAAAATCGTTTTTTTGCTTCGGGAAAAAAAAAAAAAAAGGGATAAACAGAGAGGATTCGTTTCCCCTGGTAAAAATAGAGAGGGGCCTGTTTCTGAATTTCTGGCAATCTATAAAATGCCAATGTAAGCCCTGTAAGAGGGTAAAATCTCTTTCAACAGTTCCAGGCTAGTTCTTTATTTGAGATTTGATGGGAAGCCTGAGCTTATTTACAATTTCTCTTGACATCAGAATAAAAACAATGCTCTGGGTGAATTTTGTTACAGAAAAAAGGATCTAGAAAACTATCAGAATATAAGATAATAAAGTACACAGGAAGAGCATGATCTCCACACTCAATTGCTAAAACATTTAGTTCCAGTACCATCATTTACTACTAAATGGATGGAAACAAGTGCAAATTAATCAACATCACTGTAAAATACTAAAAACCATATTTCACTTTCATTGAGTGAAATTATTGGTTGCAGCAACTGATGTACAAGGCCTTACTCGATTAACAATTCTAGGCTTCATTCTATAGAGAATGAAGCATTAACTGAATTCCATGTTGTGGCTGAAGCATAAGAAGGGTAAATGGTGCGTGGCAGTAGGTTGGGGAAAGGGAAATAGTGTAGCGTTGTAGAATCATTGAAAGAGCAGTCTTTGTTTCTGTCATTGCAAAGCTCATACCCACGCAAGATCGAGGTCCAAACCCAAAGGGCATAAATGCAGCAGCATTATATTTGGTGGCATTGGCAATCCCTTCTGCGAATCTCTCAGGTTTGAAAAGATTTACATCATCTCCCCATAACTGAGGATCATGGTGAAGTGCCAGAATTGGGACAATCACTTGCAAATCAGCTGGCAGTATGAGCTTTCCCAATTGAATTTCATGTTCAACTCTTCTTGCCAGGTTGTTTAATGGAGGATATAATCTTAGAGTTTCATTAATGATCATAGTCAACTGTGGAAAAGGAATAAACATATTCAATCTATTCTGAATTTAATATTCAATCTACTAAATGTTCAGTAATGTGTGCAGGCAAAAGGATTAGATTTGCTTACAATCTTTAGTCTGCCAATGCCTTCAGAATGCGGATTTTGGTTGCCAAAGACCTCGATCACCTCTCTCCGTGCTTTCTCTTGCCAATCTGGATGGATTGCTAAAAGAAAGACAGTCCATGCAAGTATAGAATTAGTTGTTTCTTGTCCACCGAAGTAAAATGTCTTGCATTCATCTACCAAATCTTGTACAGAAAGCCTGTTCTTTTGGTCTGCATCATGGTAAACATTTAAAAGCAATCCAAGAAAATCAGTGCCAAAGCTGTTGGCTTCTCCACTAGCAACTTTCTCTTCTCTCTTCTTAACTATCTCCATCACAGAATTGTGTATTCCTTTTACAAGTTTGTCTGATTCAATTACATCAGCAGTTCTCCAGAACTTACTGCAAAAACAAACAAATTTCTACCATATATATATGAAGGAAAAATAAATAAAAAATTCAACATTTAAGCCAAAGCTGCAGAATATGACTTCTAGTTACTCTCTAATTTTTTCAGTAAATCTAGATTAAAGAGCTTACCTAATGCCAGGAAACCTTGCTTTAAACATGTTTCTGTTCGTCAAGACAGACAACCTCATCAACATGTCAAAAATCTTTTTCCCATCTAAGTAACTGCTACCAAAAGCTGTCCTTGATATCACTTCTGAAGTCAACAACCTAAATTCTTCAAACACCTCAATTTCTTTGCCTTCATGTTGTTTCCACCTTTCCATCATCATCTCAACACTCGCGATCATTGCAGGAGTCATACTCTGCCAAAACCATCATCCACACCACCGTATAAGTAACTATAATTGACAGAATTTGAAGCTTCAATCAACACATCTATAACAAAAATAATTTATTTTATAGAATATGATTAGAAGTTTACTTTTAAGCTGTCCCCATGGAAAGCATGATTGGCCAACTTCCTTTGCCTTGCCCATTTCTGACCTTCGGATATCACAAGTCCATCTCCGAATATCTTACGAGCGAAATCGTCTTCATTCTTCTTCCTTTCTCTACTTGTCCTTTTTGGAAAATCTCTTTCATTATTTTTCAACATCTCTTTGATAAGCTCAGGTTCTGTGATGACCAGTTGAGCTTTAGTCCCTAGCCAATTAAGATAATTTTTCCCTAATCCCACCAAAGTAAAAGAAGAATAAATTGATTTTAATAAAACGGTCAGAAGTAAAAAAAAAAAAAAAAAGAAAATGAAAATCATGGTGGAAAAATGAAATTTTAACACTTACCATATAAGTTGATCCGTGAATGAATTTGGGGTTGGACTCTGGGCAATATATCATGTGATAAAGCAGCCATGGGCTTGCGTAATGCTTCCTGTTTCATTTTTATAGTCTCCTTGCTGTTTCCCTGGATGAACTTGTAAGGGGGTCCTTTGATTCCTTGCAAACTCATTAGATGCTGAATCCGAAGTTGTGTCCACCAAAATTTATAAAGGACTTTGACTAGAGCTACAACCAGACACAGGCATAGAGAGCCTGCAAGAAGAACTGATAAGTTTACCATGGAATTCACCTGCTGATCCTAGCAAGAAATTGTGATTTTTCTTCTGTCAAGTTTTATGGAGATATCAGGTTTTGAATTATTTGTTGAAGATGAAAGGGCAGATAATGGCCGCCACTTTTGGCGTTATCTGAGATCACAAGTCTACTTCACGCCCGTGACAAGATTGATAATAGCTTAGCCAAAGATGCAAAACCAAATAGAGATATGTCAGAATTAAATGACCTACAACTTTTGTCCATGCTTGCCGCAGCGTTGTCTCTCTAACTGCCACAATTTGGTTTGTCATTACTTTCGTCCAGACAAAGCCTGGGAATCTTTCAATGGAAGCGTTTCACCTATAATTTTTTATATTATCATCTTACAATCATTCAATCAAATCATCATTTATAAATATAAATTCATATAATCTTACATAATTTTTAATTTTAATTATTAATTATAATACAATTACTTTTACAATTGTCTAATCACGATCATCCCTAATAAACGTGAATTCACATAATATTTTGAGGAATTTTATATAATTTTAAATTATAATTAATTAATTATAATATAATAATTTTATTTTAATTTTGAAATATTCAATAGGTATTTAGCGATATTTTTTTTTTCACGTTTAAACATTATTAAAAAATTCAGTACGTTTACCCAAATCTCATCTAAGATCGTCGTCTATACCATGTCGGAGAAAAAGACCACTTTTTTAGAAGAAAGGAAAACATTTTTCAGACTCGGGGAACGATTGAAGAACACTTTCTTTCATTGTCCAGACTTGAATGTATGGTAAATATTGCTAGTTTTTTCACTCCAGTTTTTTCTTTTATCAAGTATGAAGGTATTATACAAGTAAACAAGAAATTTAAGCCAAATTTCTCATGAAATTAGTTTGTTCAATCTATTAACCCTCGATTGTCCTGTAGAATAGGTCAAGGGTATATCATACAAGACAATCCAGGCCTTATGGTGCCTATGATAAATCTGTACATGTAGAAATTAGTGCCAAACTCTGCTTCTTAGACAGAGTTTTCCTATTTAAGAAAATCCTATTTTTGCTTTTCAGAAAAAAAAAAAAAGAGAGGATTTGCTTCCCCTGGGAAAGAATAGGGAGGGTTCTGTTTCTGAATTTCTGGCAATCTATAAAATGTCAATATAAGCTCTGTAAGAGAGTAAAATCTCTTTCAACAGTTTCAGGCCAGTTCTTTATTTGAGATTTGATGCGAAACCATTTACAATATCTCTTAACATCAGATAAAAACAATGCTCTTGGAGAATTTTGTTACAGAAAAAAGGATCTAGAAAAATATCAGAACATAAAATTAAGCACACAGAAGGAGCATGATCTACATACTCAATAGTTAAAACATTTAGTTCTAGTGCCATCATTCACTGTAGAATAAAAACTATATTTCACTTTCATTGAGTGAAGTATTGGCTGCAGCACCAGATGTACAAGGTATTATTCCATTAACAATTCTAGGCTTCATTCTCCAGAGAACGAAGCATTACCTGAATTCCATGTTGTGGCTGAAGCAGGAGAAGGGTAAATGGTGCGTGGCAGTAGGTTGGGGAAAGGGTAATAGTGTAGCGTTGTAGAATCATTGAAAGAGCAGTCTTTGTTTCTGTCACTGCAAAGCTCATACCCACACAAGATCGAGGACCCAACCCAAAGGGCATAAATGCAGCAGCATTGTATTTGGTGGCATTGGCAATCCCTTCAGCGAATCTCTCAGGTTTGAAAAGATTTACATCATCTCCCCATAACTGAGGATCATGGTGAAGTGCCAGAATTGAGGCAACCACATGCAAATTAGCTGGCAGAATGAGCTTTCCCAATTGAACTTCATGTTCAGTTCTTCTTGCCAGGTTATTTACTGGAGGATATAATCTTAGAGTTTCATTAATGATCATAGTCATCTGTGGCAGAGGAATAAACATGTTCAATCTATTCTGAATTCAAAATTCAATCTACTAAATATTCAGTAATGTGTGCAGAAAAAAGAACTAGATTTGCTTACAATCTTTAGTCTGCCAATGCCTTCAGAATGTGGATTTTGGTTACCAAAGACCTCAATCACCTCTCTCCTTGCTTTCTCTTGCCAATCTGGATGGATTGCTAAAAGAAAGACTGTCCATGCAAGTATAGAATTAGTTGTTTCTTGTCCAGCAAAGTAAAATGTCTTGCATTCATCTACCAAATCTTGTTCAGACAGAATGTTCTTTTGGTCTGCATCATGGTAAGCATTTAAAAGCAATCCAAGAAAATCAGTGCCAAAGCTTTTGGCTTCTCCACTAGCTACTTTCTCTTCTCTCTTCTTAACTATCTGCATCACAGAATTGTGTATTCCTTTTGCAAGTTTGTCTGATTCAATTACATCAGAAGTTCTCCAGAACTTACTGCAAAAACAAACAAATTTCTCATATATAAAGGAAAAACAAATAAAAAATCCACCATCTGAGCCAAAGCTGCAGAATATGACTTCTAGTTACACTCTAATATTTTCAGTAAACCTAGATTAAAAAGAAACTTACCTAATGACAGGAAACCTAGCTTTAAACATATTTCTGTTTGTCAAGACAGACAACCTCATCAACATGTCAAAAATCTTTTTCCCATCTAAGTAACTGCTACCAAAAGCTGTCCTTGATATCACTTCCGAAGTCAACAACCTAAATTCTTCGAACACCTCAATTTCTTTGCCATCATATTGTTTCCACCTTTCCAGCATCATCTCAACACTAGCAATCATTGCTGGAGTCATGCTCTGCCAAAACCATCATCCACAACACTCTATAAGTAACCATAATTTACAGAATTTGAAGCCTCAATCACCACATCTATAACAAAAATAATTAATTTTGTAGAATATGGTTAAAAGTTTACTTTTAAGGTGTCCCCATGGAAAGCATGATTGGCCAACTTCCTTTGCCTTGCCCATTTCTGACCTTCGGATGTCACAAGCCCATCTCCTAGCATCTTAAAAAGGAAATCGACTTCATACTTCCTCCTTTCTCTACTTGTCCTTTTTGGGAAATCTCTTTCACTACTTCTCAACATCTCTTTGACAAGCTCAGGTTCTGTGATGAACAGTTGAGCTCTAGTCCCTAGCCAACAAAGATAGTTTTTCCCTAATCCCACAAAAGTAAAAGAAGGTTAAATTGACTCAAAAACAGGGTCAGAAGTAAAAGAGAAAATGAAAATGAAAATCCAAGTGAAAAAATGGAATTTTAACACTTACCATATAAGTTGATCCGTGAATGAATTTGTGGATGGACTCTGGGCAATATATCATGTGATAAAGTAGCCATGGGCTTGCTTAATGCTTCCTGTTTCATTTTTATAGTCTCTTTGCTGTTTCCCTGGATGAACTTGTAAGGAGGTCCTTTGATTCCTTGCAAACTCATTAGATGCTGAATCCGAAGTGGTATCCACCAATATTTGTCAAGGACTTTGATTAGAGCTATGAACAGACACAGGCATAGAGAGCCTGTAAGAAAGGCTGATAGGTTTGCCATGGAATTCATTTGCCGATCCGAACAAGAAATTGTGATTTTTTTATTAAGTTTTATGGATATATCAGGTTTTGAATTATATGTTGAAGATGAAAGGGTTGTTAATGGCGGCCACTTTTGGCCTTACCTGAAGCAATGACAGATATGGCAAAGACTTGAATAAATATTCATTAGGAAAGTTTTTTATTAAAAATAGATAAATTAAAATTGAAATTAAAATTAAAAATAATAACTTAAAAGATTTAATTACATAAATTAAATATATAAAATGAAAAAAAACAAATTTTTTGATATATTTATTAAATAAATAGTTTTTAATAAAAATATTAATAAAACTTTTTATCATTAAATAAATATTAATCAAATTTAAATTATAAATAATATTTTAAATAATATTTATATATTATTAATTTTTATATTAAAATTTATCATTTTATTAATTTAAATTTTTTGTTAATTTATTTTTAATAAAAAAAATTTTAAGTTTTATCTATAAAATTTTATATAAAATTTGTAATTACGTATATAAGTGATGGTACCAATAAATGCGGCCTATTCAAATTAATACATGGACATGACATATAAGAGTAGTAATTAAAAAACGTAAAAAAATCTTGTTTTTGGATAGGATGATAAAAAAATTATAGGTATTAAGATTTTTTTTTTGAGCAAAAAAAATTAAATATCAAATCAAAAAATGGGTTTCGTAAACGTTAAAATTTGCAACAAAGGAAAAAAAAAAAAATACAATCTCATTTTATTAGGTCGATAATCTAACTCGACGAGTTTTGATTTGATTCGATCTTATGAAATAAAATTTTTTTTTTAAATTTAAATTTAGATAGGAATAGATGGGGTAAAATTAAAAAATAATGGAGGTCAAATCGGATCGGATTTAAATTTTAGATAAATTTGATCCGATTTGATATTATATAAAAAATTATTTTTAATTAATTATTTAATTTTTTATTTATATATATTTATATAATGATATTTTTAAATATTTATATTTAAAAAAATATTTTATATTTTAAAAAATAATATTTTATTAATTTCAGATCAAATTATATCAAATATGATTTATATAATATCGAATCGAAATCAAATTTAAATATAAAAAAATAAAATAAAATTTAAATAAAATAAAATTTAAATTTAATAACGAATAAAATCAAATCAAATCAAATTAAAAATTAAAAAAATTCACCTCGAATCCGATCTAACGCCAACCTTATATTTTATCTCATGCAAAGCAAAACTCTGTCCAGATAGAAAAAATAATACAAATCCATTGCCAAACGTAAAAAGGTTATAGTTTAAAGATAAAAAATAATTATAAATATTAAAATATAAAATATAAAATACAAAATATTATTTTTTTAAAATAATTAAATAAATCGATAAAATTAAATTACAAATTTAATTTAGATTGGTCCGAATGGAAAGAAAACATAAAGAAATGACTGTTGAGTGTTGTGTACGTCTTTCATCTTTGTCCAAATCTGCGGTTGTCTTGTAGCTGTGAAGTCGTTTCTGACGATATCTGGAAGACAAAGCAGAAACATTTGTGTTTGTAGTTTTTCTTTTTGAATGAATTTGTGTTTAGAATTTACAGCAAGGATTGTCTGAATTACATATACAAATGCAGCTGATTTTGTCCACTCCGGTTATATGTAGAGTAAATATTGAATTTGCTACTGATTATCTCTAAGTATATTTGATCAGCTAACAGTGAAAATGTTTGAAACAATGATTTGGCAAAGAAAATATAATAATAAAGAAAACTATGTGTCAATAATTTTTGTCAAAAAAAAAAATCAAAATAAAAAAAATTATTCTTGTTCACCCATTTAGCTAATCTTGCTAAAAGTAAATTTTATTTTTTACAAAAATAAACTTTAAACCTGTTAGACGTGAATCTAAAATTATAATCGTGTTTCTTTGTTGCCAAAACATAAAATGAATATGTTTGATAATTTATTTAGGCTTTATTATTGAAAATTCTAACAAAGTTTTTACTGTTCAATAAACATTTATGAAATTTGTAACAAAGTAAATGTTGCTAGTTTTTTCATTCCAGAATTTTCTTTTATCAAGTATGAAGGGTATTATACAAGTAAACAAGAAATTCAAGTCAATTTTCTCATGAAATTAGTTTATTCATTCCATTAATCCTCCATTGCCCTGTAGAATAGGTCAAGGGTACATCATACAAGACAATCCAGGCCTTATGGTGCCTATGATAAATCTGTACCTGTGGAAATCAGCTGTCAATTATACAGTTTTCCTATTTAAGAAAATCCTTTTTTGTTTTTCAGAAAAAAAGGGAAAAGAAAAAAAAAAAACCAGAGAGGATTTGCTTCCCCTGGGAAAGAATAGAGAGGGTTGTGTTTCTGAATTCTGGCAATCTATAAAATGTCCATATAAGCTCTGTAAGAGAGTAAAATCCCTTTCACCAGTTTCAGGCCAGTTCTTTATTTGAGATTTGATGGGAAGCCTGAAGTTATTTACAATTTCTCTTGACAGCAGAATAAAAAAAAAAAAACAATGCCTTCGGAGAATTTTGTTACAGAAAAAAGGATCTGAAAATATCAGAATATAAGACAATAAGTAGTCAAGGGGAGCATGATCCTCATACTCAATTGCTAAAACATTTAGTTCTAATACCATCATTTACTACTAAATGGATGAAAACAAGTGCAAATTAATCAACATCACTGTAAAATAGTAAAAACTATATTTCACTTTCATCGAGTGAACTATTGGCTGCAGCACCTGATGCAAAAGGTATTATTCCATTAACAATTCTAGGCTTCATTCTACAGAGAACGAAGCATTACCTGAATTCCATGTTGTGGCTGAAGGAAGACAAGGGTAAATGGTGCGTGGCAGTAGGTTGGGGAAAGGGAAATAGTGTAGCGTTGTAGAATCATTGAAAGAGCAGTCTTTGTTTCTGTCACCGCAAAGCTCATACCCACACAAGATCGAGGTCCCAACCCAAAGGGCATAAATGCAGCAGCATTGTGTTTGGTGGCATTGGCAATCCCTTCTGCGAATCTCTCAGGTTTGAAAAGATTTACATCATCTCCCCATAACTGAGGATCATGGTGAAGTGCCAGAATTGGGACAATCACTTGCAAATCAGCTGGCAGAATGAGCTTTCCCAATTGAACTTCATGTTCAACGCTTCTTGCCAGGTTGTTTACTGGAGGATATAATCTTAGAGTTTCATTAATGATCATAGTCATCTGTGGAAGTGGAATAAACATATTCAATCTATTCTGAATTTAAAATTCAATCTACTAAATGTTCAGTAATGTGTGCAGGCAAAAGGATTAGATTTGCTTACAATCTTTAGTCTGCCCATGCCTTCAGAATGTGGATTTTGGTTACCAAAGACCTCAATCACCTCTGTCCTTGCTTTCTCTTGCCAATCTGGATGGGTTGCTAAAAGCAAGACTGTCCATGCAAGTATAGAATTAGTTGTTTCTTGTCCAGCAAAGTAAAATGTCTTGCATTCATCTACCAAATCTTGTTCAGACAACCTGTTCTTCTGGCCTGCATCATGGTAAGCATTTAAAAGCAAGCCAAGAAAATCAGTGCCAAAGCTGTTGGCTTCTCCACTAGCTACTTTCTCTTCTCTTTTCTTAACTACCTCCATCACGGAATTGTGTATTCCTTTAACAAGTTTGTCTGATTCAATCAAATCAGCAGTTCTCCAGAACTTACTGCAAAAACAAACAAACTTCTACCATATATACGGGAAGGAAAAACAAATAAAAAATCCACCATTTGAGCCAAAGCTGCAGAATATTACTTCTAGTTACTCTCTAATTTTTTCAGTAAATCTAGATTAAAGAGGAACTTACCTAATGACAGGAAACCTAGCTTTAAACATGTTTCTGTTTGTCAAGACAGACAACCTCATCAACATGTCAAAAATCTTTTTTCCATTTAAGTAACTGCTACCAAAAGCTGCCCTTGATATCACTTCTGAAGTCAACAACCTAAATTCTTTAAAAACTTCAATTTCTTTGCCTTCATGTTGTTTCCACCTTTCCAGCATCATCTCAACACTAGCAATCATTGCTGGAGTCATGCTCTGCCAAAACCATCATCCACGACACTCTGTAAGTAACTATAATTGACAGAATTTGAAGCTTCAATCAACACAACAATAACAAAAATAATTTATTTTGTTGAATATAATTAGAAGTTTACTTTTAAGCTGTCCCCATGGAAAGCATGATTGGCCAACTTCCTTTGCCTTGCCCATTTCTGACCTTGGGATGCCACGAGCCCATTTCCTACTATCTTACGACCGATTTCGTCTTCATTCTTCTTTCTTTCTCTACTCGTCCTTTTTGAGAAATCTCTTTCATTACTTTTCAACATCTCTTTGATAAGGTCAGGTTCTGTGATAAACAGTTGAGCTCTAGTGCCTACCCAACTAAGATAGTTTTTCCCTAATCCCGCAAAAGTAAGATAGTTAAATTGATTCTTAAAAAAGGGTCAAAACCCAAAAAAAAAGAAAAAAAAAAAGAAAAAGAAAATAACAATGAAAGTCATGGTGAAAAAATGGCATTTTAACACTTACCATATAACTTGATCCGTGAATGAATTTGAGGATGGACTCTGGGCAATATATCATGTGATAAAGTAGCCATGGGCTTGCTTAATGCTTCCTGTTTCATTTTTATAGTCTCTTTGTTGTTTCCCTGGATGAACTTGTAAGAAGATCCTTTGATTCCTTGCAAACTCATTAGATGCTGAATCCGAAGTGGCGTCCACCAATATTCGTTAAGGACTTTGATTAGAGCTATGACCAGACACAAGCATATAGAGCCTGCAAGAAGGGCTGATAGGTTTGCCATGGTATTCATTTGCTGGTCGTAACAAGAAATTGTAATTTTTCTGTTTAGTTTTATAGAGATATCAGGTTTTGAATTATATGTTGCTGATGAAAGGGTCGTTAATGGCGGCCGCTTTTGGGCTTACCTGAGATCAAAAGTCTTGATTTGCGCAATTACAGATATATAAAATTTAACTAGGCAGTTAGGTGGTGTTGTAGCAATAGAAAATTATTATGCAAAACTTTGTCCGGACAGAAAAAATAACTAATCCATTGGCAAACGTAAAATCCTCTATAAAAATATTACAGAAAAATTCATGAAAAATCAAAACTGCTTCTTGTATAATTCATAGCCCCTTAAAAATCTGTTTTCCAAAACCAATAAAAGCATAGAGTGAGTCGGTTAGAGGCTTCTGTATTGCTAGGCTGAAGTTGACACAAAAATTAAATTATTAATTGCTGTAAGCCAAACATTACATATTTATTTATTAAAATTAATCATAGCTATCTTTTCTTGTTTTCTTGCTTATCCGGTAAGACATAACAGCACAAAATTCAAGTCAGCCAAAATTTTAATATTTTTATATAAAAAAACCGTAATTTAAGCGTAAAAGAAAGAATATAAATATAAATATTAAAATTAAAATTTTATATTATTAAATATTATGTTTAACCGTAATTCCAATCTTGGCATCAGCTCAGGAATTATTCAACTCTCAAGAAAGAAAATTAAAAAAAAAGAAAAACTGTTATTGATAATTTTTTTTTTTTACAAGAAGTAGAAGGGGTTGCAGTTGTGGTAATTTAAACCTAAAATTTATTGGATGTAAATTTAAAATTATTTATTTATTTATTGGTAAGAAAATTCATGATAAATAAAGTGTTTAATTTCTTAAATTAAAATAAAATATATCATATTCGAAAATTTTAAAAATAATAATTATAAATCATATATTTGAGATGATACAAATAAAATATTACTAGTTGAACTCAAATCCAAAACCACTTAATTGAGCCAGGTGAATCTAAAATTATTATCATGTTTCTTTGTTGTCAAAACATGATATCCCCATATTATATAGCATCACATGGCCGATAAATACAGTAAATCGATCAGCATTCATTGCTAGAAACTGTTTCACATCACTTATTATTGGTAATACTATAGCATCACATGGCTGATAAATACAGTAAATCGAACAAAATTAATTACTAGCAACTGTTTCACATCACTTATTATTGATAAAGCTATATTCTAGCATTTTGGAGTGAACAGCTGAGTACTCTAAGCATCATTATGCAGTGAATGAAACACCAACTGAATCCCATGTTGTGGCTTAAGTGTAAGAAGTGCTAATGGTGAGTGGACGTAGGCAGGAGAGAGTGTAATGGTGTAGCGTTGCAGAATCATGGAGAGAGCAGTCTTCGTTTCAGTGATTGCAAAGCTCATGCCCACGCAAGATCGAGGTCCCAATCCAAAGGGAATGAATGCAGCCGCATTGTGTTTGGTGGCTTTGGCAATCCCTTCAGCGAATCTCTCTAATTTGAAAAGATGAACATCAACTCCCCATAATTCAGGTTTATGGTGAATTGCCAAGTTTGGGATGAGGAACTCTATATAAGTAGGGAGGATGAGTTTTCCCAATTGAACTTCCTTTCCAACTTCGCTTGCCATGCCATTTACAGGAGGATACAATCGTAGAGTTTCATTGATGATCATGGTAATCTTTTTGCAAAATAGGAATCAAAGGTATCCAATTATAATTCGGCCACAGCTTAAGAATAGAGGAAGAGGTTGGAAATGCTGATATTCGAACTCCAGAAAATGATTAGAGTTTGCAGTTTTCTTATAGTTTTTAGTTTGGCAATCCCTTCAGGATGTAGGTTTTGATCACCAAATACCTCAATCACCTCTGTTCTTGCTTTCTCTTGCCAATCTGTATGCATTGCTAAAAGCAGGACTGTCCATGCGAGCAAGGAGTTAGTTTTTTCTTGTCCAGCAAAGTAGAATGTTTTACACTCATCAACCAAATCTTGTACCGAAAGCCCGTTTTTGTCGTCCGAATCATGATAGGCATTGAGAAGTAGTCCCAGAAAATCATGGCCAAAGCTGTCAGCTTCTCCGGTCACTACTCTCTCTTCCCTTTTTTTAACAACTTTCATCACAGAATCATGTATTGCTTTCGCAAGTTTTTTTGATTCAATTTCATCAGCTGATTTCCAATACTTGCTGCAAAAGCAAACCCATACTAATGTCCACTGCCATGTATGAATAAAGCCAGATTAGAGAAAGTTACCTGATGACTGGAATCCTGGCTTTAAAAATTTTTTTCTTTTGGTTACATCAGGAGGGCAAAGTCCTAGTACAAGTAAGGGGAGGGGGAGGCTTGGTTCGAAAATAAGCCCTTGATGTCTCCTCAAGTGCCCTTAACCACTAGACTAAAAGCTTGGGACCTGGCTTTAAAAATATTTCTGCTAGTAATTATTGACAACTTCATCAACATCTGAAAGATCTTCTCCCCTTCCAAGTAACTGCTACCAAAAGCCGTTCTGGATATCACTTCTGAAGTCAATAATCTAAATTCCTGGAACACTTCAATCTCTTTGCCTTCCTGCCTTTTCCACTTCTCCAGCATTGTTTCAACGCTTGCAACTACTGCTGGAGTCATGTTCTGCCAAAACCATCCTCCACTTTATCAGTAAAAATTTCAATAATCATAACTGCGGATTTGATTGTTTTTGGTATTTGTAAGAAATCAATCAACCAAGCAGTCAATGGCAACAAAAAGTTAAACTTTTAAGCTCTCCTCATGGAAAGCATAATTGGCCAGCTTCCTCTGCCTGTGCCATTTTTCACTTTTCGTTGTAGCAAGCCCGTCCACTAGTATCTTGCTGAGGAAATATGTAACCTTCTTCTTTGGAAATACTTTTTCTCTGTTTTTCAGCACCTCTTTGATTAGTTCTGGTTCTGTAATTACCAGTTGAGCTCGAACACCTACCCAAGCAAGATAATACTTCCCTAACCAAATAAAAAACAAAGAAAGAGTTAAACACTAGTTAATAATCCTAGTGAAAATTTTCATCTTGTCTCACCGTATGTGTTGATCCAGGAATGAATATGAGGCATCACTCTGGGAAATATTTCATGTGTCAAGTCCATAGGTTTGCTTAATGCTTCCCTTTGCATTTGTATAGTTGCTTTCTTGTTACCATGGATGAATTCATAAGGAGGTCCTCTAGTTCCCTGTGAATTCAGGATAAACTGTATACGGTGAGGAATCCGCCAATATTTGTAGAGGACATAGAGCAGAGCTACGATGAGGTAGAGGCGCAAAGAGCCTGTGAGAAGGATTAAAAGCTTTCCCATGGTGATAATTTCTTCTCTTAACCGATGGGACTGATCAGATTTAATTTCCTATGTTCTAAGGTTTTCGCTATAATTTGAGGACTGAGGAGATTTTGCTTTAGAAACAGGCTTGAATTTGGTTCGATTTGTAACCATTTCCTTTGAAAAGTACACCAAAGTTATTATACTAGTGAAATATTAGAGGCGTAAAAGACTTGAAATTTTTATTAAAAATGATCACAATAAAAATTATTTCTCATTATGTAACTCAATATAGAAGTCCTTATTATGTAACCCAATATAAAAGTCATGAAAGAAAAAAAAATCCCTCAATTATAGAAAATCCAAAATTTTTACAAGATCCTAAAATTTATCCCTTTTATATCTAAAAAAGATTAATTTCCTTTTCTTGCTTACAATTCACAAAAATTTTGCATTTGTGTTTGTTAATTTTCAAAGAATTCTTAGTTTTCATCACAAACTCAATTTTCTTGCATCACAGAAACTTGCAGTAACTATATGTACAACTTGTCATATATAAAATATATAAGACCAGAAATATAACCAAAATCAATCTATAAAACCTTGTCAAGATCATCCCTTAAACAAAGAAAAGAAACAAAGAACATGCGTTCCATAATCACCCGGAAAATGTCATGCATAAAAAAAGGCTAAAAGACACATAAGTATGACAATGATTGACATTACCTTCGTTTAACATAATCTTGTAGTCATCATCAATCCAAATCTCCCTTTTGTTTGTTTTTGAACTATTTACAGCATTCTTGCTCCATTATGCCGTGGATAAATATATAAATATATATTTCAATCGTTTTGGTTTTCAGCTTTTATTTGGTATTGGAAGGAAAAAAACCAGATTGCTCCAATAATTTGGAAGTGGAGAAGAGCTAGATTGTTCAGGTGAACAATTAAGAGCAGAGGAATGCCAGCAAGAGTCATTTTACAACTTTTGCAACAGTAAGTAGCCAAAAAATATGGAAAAGAGAAACTAATTATTTAAAACTGAAAGGCTCTGACAGCATATCAAGGATCACCTAATATAAAAACTGGAATTGATACATAATTAGGAGCCAAAAATGGCTGGTAAGAACTGTGTGTTGTACATTGACCACACCTTTATTTAAAACAGTTTCTCACTTACTATGAATATTTTACCATCTTGGACACTAATGGAAGCAGCTATTGCGTTAAAAACTTTAGGCATCACTCTGTAGAGAATGAAGCATTACTTGAAGTCCATGTTGTGGCTGAAGCAACAGTTGAGGAAATGGCGCATGAATATAGGCTGGGGAGAGAGTAATGGTGTAGCGTTGTAGGATCATTGAGAGAGCAGTCTTTGTTTCTGTGGTTGCAAAGCTCATACCCGCGCAAGATCGAGGTCCCAATGAGAAGGGAATGAATGCAGCCGCATTGTATTTGGTAGCTTTGGCAATACCTTGTGCGAATCTCTCTGGTTTGAAAAGATGCACATCATCACCCCATAGTTGAGGGTCATGGTGAAGTGCTATGATCGGGATCATAACCTCCGTATTAACAGGAATAATGAGCTTTCCCAATTGAACGTCTCTTGCAACATTTCTAGATATGGCAGATACAGGAGGATACAATCTCAGGGTTTCATTGATGATCATGTTCATCTGTGAGCAAAATAAATTTAAAATTTATTAAATGCTGGTAATGCACGCTATTGAAATGGTCAGAGATTGCGGGTTTGCTTACAGTTTTTAGTTTGGAAATGCCTTCAGAATGAGGATTTTTGTCACCAAATACCTCGATCACCTCTCGTCTTGCTTTCTCTTGCCAATCTGTATGGATTGCTAAAAGCAGGACTGTCCATACGAGCAAGGAATTAGTGGTTTCTTGTCCAGCAAAGTAGAATGTTTTGCATTCATCTACCAAGTCTTCTACGGAGAGCCTGTTTTTCTCATTCGAATCATGAAAAGCATTTACAAGTAATCCTAGAAAATCACGGCCGAAACTGTCAGCTTCTCCATTCACTATTTTCTCTTCCCTTTTCTTAACCATTTCCATCACACATTCATGTATTCCTTTAGCAAGCTTTTCTGATTCTATTTCATCAGTAGTTTTCCAAATCTTGCTGCAAAAGCAAACAAAGGTATAAGCCCTATACATGGACAAAAGGAGAAAAACTAAATCCTTTGGGATCATATTTCGGATTTTGCACTGAAGTGACTTCTAGTATTTCCTTTCTATTTGGAAATCAGGGGCAAACTCTATAGTCTAGATTAGTCAAAGGTATAAAGACCGCATCTAACCGAGATATTATTCAATTTGACATATATCATAGCAGATCTTTATAATATCTTGACGTAATATTATAACAAGATTATAACATTACAAATTAACTTACCTGATGCCAGGAATCCGAGATTTATGAAAATTTCTGCTAGCAAGTATTGATAATTTAATCAACATTTGAAAAATCTTCTCCCCTTCCAAGTAACAGCTACCAAAAGCTGTTCTAGATATAACTTCTGAAGTCAGTAACCTGAATTGTTGAGACACTTCGATCTCTTTCCCTTCTTGGCCTTTCCACTTCTCTAGCATTGTCTCAACAGCAGCAATTATTGCTGGATTCATGCTCTGTCAAACACAACCATCCATTCTGTAAGAAACTAATTCATAACTCTTAATTGTCAGTACAAAATAGACTTTGTTCGAAGTTTTACTTTTAAGCTCTCCCCATGAAAAGCATGATTTGCCAACTTCCTTTGCCTGGCCCATTTTTCACCTTCGGTTGTCACAAGGCTGTCCCCGAGTATCTTATAGATGAAGTTTTCAGCCTTCTTTTTCGGAAAAGATCCGTCGCTATTTTTCAGAACCTCTTTGGCTAGTTCTGGTTCTGAAATTACCAGTTGGGCTTGAGTTCCTTCCCAGGTAAGATAATTCTTCCCTAATAAAAGAACAAAAAATAAAGGGTTCATTTTTTTTATTTGAAGTTATAAACATATTCCAAGTGAAAAACATCGGAATCTTCTCACCATATATGTTGATCCAGGAGTAAAACTGAGGCAGCACCCTGGGAAATATATCATGAGTCAAGGCAGCCATAGGTTTGTTTGATGCTTCTTTTCTGAATTGGACAGACGCTTTGTTGTTTCCATGGATGAATTCATATGGAGGTCCTTTAATTCCCTGTAAACTCAGCGCGTACTGTACGCGGAAAGGTATCCACCAATATTTGTAAAGGAATTTGAATAGAGTTATGAGGAGAAACAGGCACAAAAAACTCGTGAGAAGGATTAAAAGCTTTGCTGTGGAATTCATTTTCGTCTCTTAACAATGAATTCAGATGTTTTTATGTACTAAATATTAGTTCCTTTGATATAAGATTTTATGGGCCGAAAACAGATGCTTTAGAAGCCGGCTTTTGGCTTCATTTGTAGCATTTTTGATAGAATTGTATGATAAAATTTAATCAGAAAATAAAGTCAAGACTCAAAATTTTCTTGCATTGTTGTTGTCATTTCTAGAATCTTATCAACCGATTATATAAATTAGATTATATTTTAAAAGTATTTAATCAACCAAAATCTGTCTGCAGAAGAAGCCACAATCACACCTTATTCATGAAACAAGAAAAGAAAGTAAAAAAATAGTCATATCAGTAAAAAATAATCATATCTTCCAGTCACCTGCAAAATGTCCTGCATCCAAAGGTTATAAGACAAACAATAACCAACATTTGACAATTCATACTTTAATATAATCTTGTAATCACCATCAATCCATTTCTTGCTTTTTATTTAAAGTTTCTAATGATTCAATGATAAAACGCACATGACGATGTGGTGAAAGTCTGCTTATCGGACTCTCAAATGAACCGTTAGTCTTTGACTTGTTGCAGCTTGCATCATTATGACATGGATAAATGTTCCATCTGTTTTGTAGAAAGGCATAAAAATTATCATAATAATGATAAAAAATACTTGCCTAATTGATTTTTTTTATTATGTTTAATTTATCCTTTTAGTTTTTTTTTTTTTTTTACCAAAATCTTTTCAAATTCTCACTAACCAAAAAATGCAATGAAACGACATATTGGGAAGATCTCATCATTGGATTTTTTGGCCAATCAAAGCATTAAGTACCAATTTAATTTGAAAAATGGTCCTCCAAAAAAAAAAAGAGTTTACTTTAGTTCATCATTAGTTCTTAATGAGAAAATAAAATGATTAGTCAATATTTTAATTTAAGAAAGAAAATTAATTAAGGAAAGTTTATTTTAAAAATTAAAAACTTCAGCGTTAATAAAAAATAAATAAAATGAATCAATATTTTAATTTAATAAAAAATCATTAATTAAGGATAAAATAATTAATTTAACAAATTATCAAGGATAAATATATCTATAACATTAATTGGGTTGGGTTAGGTTGGATTGGAGCAGTTTCTTGTAAAATATCACCCATTTATCACGTGAGAGAATTCGAAAAGAATTTAATTATTTAATTCAATCTTTAAATTGTTTTAATTTAATTAGATATAAAAGAATAATAACTAGACTAGATTAAGAGTTTTCGAATTTTAATTAGTCAAATTATGGTTCTTTTATCTTGATTTAGGCAACTGATAAATCTCCAATTAAAATTTTTAACCAACTAAATATTTAATTTAATTGATTAAAAAATTTTCACCAAATGTGGACATGTACATGCATCTTAGGAATTTATTGTGGCATTCAGTTTCTATTATAATTTGTGCGATTTGTATCCCAAATATCAGTGCTCTGCGACTGCTATCAATGTTGTGTCATGCATCTTTGATTTGGACATTAGCATCAGCCTTCTCCTGGAACAGCAATGCTTGTTCGAGTTTACAGAACACATCACTTATTATGGCCGGTCTATTTCCCTACTGGCCTGGCACCTTACTGCAATGTCCACAAATGTGGTAAGGCACTCGGACATGATCTTTCCTCTTAGGTATGGTTCAATCAGGACATCAATTTTTTCACTCCGATGGCCATGAACAGCTCATCTAGCCAAGCTTACGTTCGACTGATCATCCTCGTTTGGCTCACGATTAACAGCTGGTCTTCCACATAAGACTTCACATAATACCACACCAAAAGATTAAACATCTGTTTTGCGAGTTAAAATTCTGTTTCTGCCAAATTCAGGGTCCAAATATCCAAAGGTACCATTTGGTCCAGAGCTGACTTGGTTCCTAAAGGATCTCGCAATCTTGCCTACTTTTGACAGGCCAAAATCTGAGACTTTGACCACCCAATCTTGATCCAGGAGTATGTTTGTTAATTTTATGTCCCGGTGAATGATGGAATGCTCTGTGCCCGTGTGGAGGTAGTGTAATCAACGAACAGCACCAATGCAAACCTTGAGCCTCTGAGTCCATGACAGCGGTGGATTTTGAGTCCCGTAGAGATGATCACGTAGAGTGCCATGAGCCGTGCAATCATATATCAGGATCAACTCATTGTCCTCTTGACAATATCCAAGCAAAGATACAATGTTCATGTGACGAAAAGTGGAGAGCAATTCGATTTCAGTTTTGAACTCTTGGACTCCTTGGTGGGACTCAGGATTTTTGCGCTTAACTGCCACTTTGGTGAACCCATCTTCCAGCAGACCCTCAT